TCAGTGTGAGAGAAAATATTTTTTTTAAAAAAACAAACACATGGGAGCGAATGAATTGGAAATGTATAATTCAGGTGAGATAAAATAGGGTCTAAATTGGGATACACAATATTTTCTAAAATAATGACATTTTGAAACTTTTGCTAAAATTTATAAAATATGAATATTATTAATAATAATGTTAAGATTTATGACTAATTTGTTAATTTATCCATTAATGCACGGGCTGACCCAACTCATATAGTTCAAGACCCTAAGGCTAATGGGCTTATTTAGGTTGGCCTAAAGAATCCTATTTTTAAATGGGCTCCAAAAATCTTGGTCTAATCCAATCAAATCACGAGTTGACCCAGACTCAATCCTAACTGACGGCTCTACTCACTATTGATATTTTCTTTGCTTTTCAAGGATTCAACTCAAGTTAGTCATGAGTTTTTTTTCGTAGATCAGTTGTTTATTGTTTTTTTTTCTTTGTTGATTAAGTTACAAATTCAACTTAAGTTTGGTATGAGCTTATCAATTTCTAATTGATTTTCTCTTTGCTATTCGAGTGAAAATCAATTCAAGTTAGATGTTTCTTAATAATAAATTTTTAATTGATTTTTCCTTTTGTTGCTCAAGTTATAAATTAAATTTAGGCTAAGTTTGAACTTTTTGCAAAAGATGAATATATTTTATTGATTTTCTTTTTCTGCTCAAATGACAGTTTAAAATTAGGTTAGGTTTCAGTTTCTTTGAATAGATTTTTTTTAAAAAAAAATTGATTTACCTTTTAGTGCTCAAGTGACACATTCAACTTAGTATGATGTAGTATTTTCTCAATAGATTAATTTATTAATCGATTTTTTCTTTGTTGCTCAAGTGATAGATTCAACATAGGTTAGATTTGATCTTCTCTTATATAAAAAAAACAATTATTGTTTTTCCTTTTTTGTTCAAGCGACACATAAACTCGGGTTACTTTTGAGCTTTTCTACATAGTTCATTATTTTTAAAAGAATAAAAAATATTTGTGTTAGGGTTAGTTTGTGCACACTTAAATATTCCACAGAATACCTTCTATATCTCACCAACATTGTTACTAGGTAATTTACCAACCAAGGTTCAACTTATACTTTTTTCTCGCTGGGATTTCAACCTTAGTATTCACACCCTTGGATGCGGATCATTCAATCATTTAGGACATTTCTTGGTGCTAGCAATATTATTTATAATATTGTTCAATGAAACCTATTGAGTATGGTTAGAAGTTCTTTGGTTCCAAAATATAAATTTCAGTGATGCACTTTTACTCTAACCTTATTTTTTTTCTAATTTATCATCAACTAAGTTAAATAATTACGCCAATAAGAATTGCAAAAATTATGAAACATGAGGACCCTAACCTTGTGTTGAGTAACAATTAAAGATGCTTGCAAACTATATAGGAATCTACAATTACACGAAAATAATAGGTATAAATATAAAGATACCCTAGGAATAGACAATCAAAACGCATCTAGTTCGTTTGCGGTACAGAACTACTCGATATCATGATATTGAAATGCAACTATTTCCTTTCCGAATGGTTATGAGATTGTTTAGACCATGTAGAAACAATTTAGTCAAACGTTTTTGTAATGAAGTAATCCCTAACTTGGCCTCAACTTGCTATTGAACACTCAAACATTGACGATGCACATCTAGACACCTCAACTCATCTCAAACTTCGTGTTCGGTTGTGTTTATACTTTTATGCATCTATGGTTTCTCTTGTAGCTCTTCATGTTATTTACACCAACTTATTTTAATCTAGTCTCAAAGTAATCTCCGGAACAAAATTGATATAGTAGGCAACACAGAGGACAAAATCTCTAATGGATCATCACATGTCCTGAGAAGAAACCTCACCTTTCCCTTCAACTGCGTCTGCACTTAAGGTAGTTGTCAGCAAGTTTCTGTTCAACTGCGTAAATATATATTTTGCATATCCTCAAAACAAGAGTATGTGTCTTTTTAAGATGCCCCAACTTGCTTCAAGTGTATCAACAACAAATGTTGAAATATGAAAGTCCATTATAGTGGACAATATCAAAGAGCACAGAAGAAAAAGAGGAGCAAAAACAGAATAACATGCAAGAAAAAACAAATTACTAGACCCGAAGAAAGAGAGCCTTTAACACAAGAAAACCAAGCTTTGGATGAAAAACAGAAAGAGCTTTCCTCTTTCTAGTTTAAACTTGTACCACAGAGAGGCAAGTAAGTACCAATATATCAGGCACATCGCTCCGAAGGTTGTGTCTAATTGATTTGACATAAATTTTTTCTTTTACTCTTGGCAAGAAGGGACTTAGATTGCCTCCCCTCGAAAGGCTGAATATCCATCTCAAGTAAGTTTTGCACACGCAACATTGATTTATCTGTAACTTTAGTCGAAAGAAGTTCATTGCAGAAAAGCTAAATTTGAATGATCATGCTGAGGAGATAATTTTATAAGCTAAATTCTACATTTCTTTGAACTAGTTAGTTATATAAAATTTAAGAATTAGAAATTTTAAAAAATTCCCATTTTATTTGAAAAAATATATTAATTCTTACTTGACAAAGATAAAGGAACTTAAACAATTAATGATCTCTCGGATTAAAAGACGAACAAATATAAATAGCTAGGATTGTGAAACAAATTTTTATTTTATACTACATGAAGTAATGTTGAAAATATCACTACACTATTGCTTTGCCATTGAATTGTCTTTATATAATTTTGTGCAGGTGAATATTGTGTATTGTGGTGAAGAGTTGAATAGAGATATGATGCTCATAGTCATTCAACTTAGATGGAAGTCACACCTTCCCAATTCTAGAAAGTGAGGGACAAAATAGGAGTTAGAGGAGGCTGTGATTCAGCTAGGATGCATCAGAAGCGAGAAGCTTCAAACTCCACCCAATAAATAACAAGTGTGTGGCTACTGAAATCATGGCTTAAAAGAAGTGAACTACCTATTTCACAACAGACTTAAAGACTAATCAGTAGACACTTTTTGACGTGCATAATAATAGTCTCAGAGCTATTAGTACCTTAATTCTCTGTTTTAGTAATGGCAAACAATCTATTCTTTCGACTTATATTGTCTAGTTTCCAACGAAATATTTTGCTATCGACTTCTATATTAGCATTTTTTTCAGCATGCATCTTATAATAAATGGGGTTTTTTGATTCTCACTAATTTGTATTCCTTTTAGGGCGATAGAATTGAGACAATTTTACCTATCAAACTTTATTATAAGATTTACGCATTTAATTAGTCTGAACAGGTGTTTAATCATTAAGATCTTGAACAAAGTCTTAGAATCATGAAGATGTATTCTTTTGTGGATAGTATTCATTGTCACACTCACCAACAACGACCATTAATCACTTCTTTCATCACAATGACGCGAAGCATCTTCCTGAAATTTAACTCTGAATATGAAATTTTTTGTGAACTTGAGACTTTGTACATATCTTGGTGTTACATAATTATTTGATTTTCCTTTGGTAGAATACAAGCTATTGTTTGCATTTCACCAAATAACATCTAACACTGAGTTTATCTCTTCAATATCGATTTGTCTCCTATATTTTTAAATCTCATACTCATCACCATGTAAAGTGAAATGACCGATTTTGCAATATTTTGCAACTTGAATCTGAATGATTTAGACCTTAGGTCATCAAGTGCATATGTTATCATTAAGATTTAACCATCACCATTATTTTTATCAATCACCAAACACCTTTGTTATCACGACCACCATTGATATTCACACTTTATACAAGCTCATTCGAAGGCAAATATCGTTACACATTCTATCATATAGAATACTTATTGAACTCGATGTTTGGTGCAAACTTATATTATACTTATTGGTTTCAAGTTCTACTATATGTTTTGATAAATATACACTTTGAGTTCAAAAATGATCGTGAGCTAGATTTGCATCGTCTAGCTTCATATTACCTATCCTCTCGGAAAAAGCCTTGTAACATTATACTTGTGGTGATTAGGAATATAGGTGGGGTTACAATGGTGTTTTATAACTTGCAACATTATACTTGGGGTAGTCAGGAATACGGGGTTACAATTGTGCTTTATAACTTGAAACGTTATACTTGTGGTGATTTTCTTTTCACAAAAAAATGAAATAAATGGAAAATGAGATTATGTGGAGTCATAATAAAAGTTTATGTAGCCAAACAATTGCACTAACAAAATTCCTCTCTAAGTAAATTATCTACATGCTTTATTTTCCTTTATAAATAATATTAACATCTATACCATATTTCCTTTTGAGCAAAAAAGTTTAATCTCCAAAGCTTAAAAGTCCATATAATCTTAAAGAACCAATTCTTCAAACAAAAGAAATCATTTAATTTCCATATCACCCACTAAAAAAGAAAAGGAATTACATTGATTTGAAATCATAGTAGCTTCAAGATTTCTTACTATTGATATGCATATTCCCAATTTATTTTTGAAAATAACGATCTCATTTATGAACCTAAGGAAAAATCTTATAAAGTCAACAAATATTCTTATTTCTTCTAGGTTGGGACTATTGAGTTCTTGTTGACATTTGTGCCAAGATGCTAGCATATTGTACAACAGTATGTCGTGATGTGCATTGATCAGAGAGGCCAAACACTGAAAAATACGTTTCAGTATGTACAAAATGACATGGTAATGTTTTTTTCCCAAGAGTTTCCTTCAATATCTCGAAGCTCATAATCAGATGTGATGTTTTCCATGAGGAAATCCGAAGATACTCTATCTACAAAAAAAATAATCTTATGAGGCAAGCATTCTCATAAAAATAATTTTTTTTAATTAGGTAAAGTACAATAATTGAATTCCTCTCCATGAGGTGTAGAAAAACATAATATTTTACAACATAACTATTTCTTTTTAATTTTAAAAAAACGTTTAACTACATTATAAAAAGCTTCAACAGAGAATAAATCTCTAAAAGTATTTGCATACCTCCATAACTATTCCCCTCAAGTTCTCAGAATTTATTGGAACAACTTTGCCTACTCGCACTCGGAAATCACCAAGTCGATACAGAAACCCCTATATCATACAAATATTTTAATGAGTATTTATGAAGACAAAATTTTGATGGAGATATATAAGTATATCATCCTCAATACGAATAATAATTTGCAGATCTCAATATAATACAAACCTCACAATTAAGTGCAAATTTTATTCTGTAAGATTGTAAGTTCTCCATTATCGTTTGTATTGATGATTCTTCTTCCGCAATCAGTCGTTTCCTACTAAGTGCCATGTAAAACTTGTCGGGCTGTTCTTGAAGTGAAGCCCCCAAAAATTGTTGGGGAAATTGTGATTCATTTTCTTGTTCTAGTAAAAGAAAAAAGATCATCAACAATCAAATATCGTATATGGCTACAAAAGTACTCTTAAAAATGACAGGATGTTTAAGTTTAAAATTCTAGATATATAGATTATCTTACATTTAGATCTATTCTTGATCCAAAAAATTTCAATACTTCTTCATTTCTTAATACATTATCTTACAAAGGAGAAAAACTTCCCAAGTCCAATTTTTATAATTCATCAAAAGGAGAAAAAAAAGGAAGTCCATCTCTTTATATTGCGTTTATGGACATGATTTATTAAGTAATGATGAAATACCTTTGAGCATGGGCTTATAGAAGCAAAAGGTATTTTTCCATCCTCCTTCTTTAACACCATTAATGCTCTCAACACAATTAGATACTTCTATCAGTATTTGACTATTGATTGTTGTACCTGCATTTGGCTGCCAACACAAAACCCTAACAACAAACAAAGTAACAAATTGTACACTTAAACATACACAAGAAAATCATTCAAAATGTTATGTTTCTAGTGAATTCAAAATAATTACCATTTGATTGACATGTTGTCCATTGCAAGTACAATTTTTACAATTTTCTTTTTCCTCTTAATAAAAAAATTTGTTCAAAAAGAAGAAAAAGCTCTTACTAATACAAGGAAAGATAAGAAACTGAATCTTAAAGTCTTTATGTTATTGTTTGAAATTGTCTGAAAGCACAAAGTTGTATTTATAGTGGACAGGTACCTTGAACATAAATCAAAGTCATATTTGACTTTTTGTTACTAAAATTTCTTACCTTGTATGGTCAAACTTGTTATATAATCAAAATAGTATTTCTTTTTCCTTTTAATATATTGTGGAATTAACAGTTTTTCCTTATTAGAATCGAAGATAGAAAGAGAAAATAATAATAATTCATTTTAAAATGTATGTCAAGATTATATTTGTCTGAATGTATCTAGTCAATATTAATATATTTATTTCTCTTAATTAATATGCCTTTTTTATAAGAAAAAAATTTATGCTTTGAAGGATGAAAAAATCATCAAAGATTTCATGAATGAATATGAATTATTTTTATTAAAATAATGTTTTTACTATATTTGTTTCATTTTATATGATTTAATATTCCTTTTTTATTTTTAAGTAATTCAAATGGTGTTCTCATTCCTTGTAGAATCAATAGTTTTTCTTAATCTATATTTGTCCTTAAATGTATTTCTTAATAAAAATTCCCTAGAATGGTACTATTTAGTTAACATATTTATTTTTATTAATTAATAAGCCAATAAAAAAAAGATGTTTTGAAGGATTAAACAATTCAAAATACTCATACACCGAATATGAAGTGTTTATATACTATATTTATTTCATCTTATATAATACAATTCAATATTGAGAGTCAAATAATTTCTTTCAAAAATTCTTATCTACCTTGCATGCTTTTAATTACAAATTTCAGACAGTTAAAAAAGAATTTAAACTATTTTCCACATCACCTATCGCATTCGGAATATTACATTATTTTTTTGGTAATTAAAAGAATTTATTTGTGTGATTATCCTTTTATAAGTTTTGTTTTAATTCAGACCAGTGAAGGATAGATCGGGCAGGATGAAGTGCAGAACAACTAATGTACGATCATTCAACTTCAAAATCATACAAAGTGACCTTATGGATTATCTTAATTAAAATTAATAATATGTAAATTTAAGTGTAAAAATTAATTTTATACATAAACTGTTACAAATTTGAATAGAGGTAATGAAATCGGTAATAAAAAACTGATGTGTTTGGCAAAGAATATTGTTAAGTCGTCCTACTACTAAAATGATTGAAAGACCCTAATAATGCCAAAAAATATACATTAAAACTAATTGTCTATACAAAAGAACAAATGGTATATACCAATTAATGAAATTTGGTGAAGATATTAGATATATGTATTGTAATACCAAAGACAATAAATTGTTGAACCTTTTTTGTATGTGGAAAAATGTAGTAGACCTCAATTTCATCTTCGATAGAATTTTAGATGTTTTATGTTCATTTTTTGGACTTACATATTGATGAATGTTTTTTTATTATCAAGAACTTATTGGAAAGTTATGAACTACAAAGAGAATTCATCTTTTGTTATATTGAAAATGTTGTCATTGTTGCACTTTTTGTTAAAGGTAGATCAGAGGAAAGGGCGTGCATATGAATAGAACTCATTTCAATCAAAAGAACTTCAATCAAAATGTTAAAGAAGCTGTGTCAAAATAAATCTCAAGTCATTCAATCCACCGAATTCATTTAAATTTGGATGGATCAAAATTTATCCATCTATTAGCTCAATTTTATTTCACCAACTCATTTCAGTTCATAAAAAATTGAATTGATATATGGCTCAAATTAGTTCACAAGTAATCTTATCAAAAAAAATTTAAAATGACATTTCTTTATTTAATATGTCATATATAGTCATAATAAATAAAAGTAATAATTTTGTTAAGAACTAAAAACATAAAACAACAAAATAAAGGAATTAAGTAAAAGTGAAAATTGAGTGCGGGATGAGTTATTATCATCCGCATTCTATCTCATTTTAGTCAATCTATTTCAACTCAAATAGCCTTTTAATAATCAATAATTCACATATTTATAAACTCGTCTTAATTACATTCGGAAGATAGGGAAGTAACAAGTACTCGTTTCCAGTTCACGTGAACCCAATAGCTTTTGTGTTAAGAACAAGCTCCATCCTAATGTTACACAACCAATTATTTCTTTGGTGGAGAAGAAGCAATAGAACTTGAATGTAGCTCAAAAAGGTTGATTTGGGACCCAAGCCCAATTAACAACAGGTTAAAAGGGACTACGGCTTAGAAAATGTATTCACCTTTGATTATGCACCTGAATTGGGTGCTTTACTAATTGTATATTGTTGAATATGATATTCTAAGATTATAAAATTATTTCTATATTACAAATATTGAGGATAAATCTAGTTTAAATCAATAACATATCCGCTGTAGTCCACACAGTGAATCTAATGAGGATATAGAATGCACAAACTTTACCTCTACCTCAAAGCTAGAGATATACTAATATTGTTATCCATAAAAACAATATTAACTGAGAAAGGGTAAAAAACAGAGGAAGGAAAACACAGAAAAGTGAGAATACGAGATGTTTAGACCATGAAATTTTCACTTTTTTTGGGGAATTCAACTCCGAAAAACACATTTGACCATAAAACTCACACTATTATTTAACTTCAAGTAGAATTTCAAAATTTCTGAGAATTTGAAAAATAGTAAAATGTTGTTTTCACTTCAATAGTAGAGAACAAGGTCTTCAACTTGACTCACTTGATCAATTGCAGAGAAAATACCAAAAGCAAACATATACTTTTACTTTTTATCTACATTTCCTTGTCTGCCATATGCAATCAGATTTTTTGAAATGTTTTCTAATCAAACATTCCTACTTTAATAATGAACCCACTTCTTTTTTAGTTTTCATTGTCATAATACAAATTCTTCATTATTGTTCTATTTGTTAAGCTTTCCTTTAACAGAAAACTAGTCTCTCTCTCTCTCTCTCTCTCTCTCTATATATATATATATATATATATATATATATATATATATATATATAGCAGAGTTCAGAATTAATTAAGTAATCAGATATGGAATTGTTATCTATTGTTGTGGAAAAGGTAACAGACTGCTTGATGCAGCCAGTTGCGCAAAGGATTGAGTATTTATTTTACTACAAGAGCAACATCAGATGTATGGATAAAGAATGTGAGAAGCTGAAGAATATCAAAAGTGAGGTCCTTGAAAGAGTGGAAGTTGCCCGGAGAAACTTACAACACATTTCACCCAATGGCGAAGCTTAGTTAACTAGTGTTGATACCACTACTCAACATGTGGAAACTGTAAGGCAAGGTACAACTGAGGTTGAAAGGGGTTTCTTTTATGGTTGGTGTCGAAACTTTAAGTCATGTTACTCGCTGAGCAGGAGAGCTAAGAAAATTACATTGGAGTTGATTCAACTTCAAAGTGAAGGCACCAATCCAAATTCTTTCTCCTTTGATCATCTAGTTCAAAGTCATGAGGCTATACCTAGTAACAGTGGTGAAGTGTCTGACTCTAGAAAATTCCAAGAGGATGAGGTCATGACAGCTTTGAAAAATAAAGGGGTCACTATGATTGGGATATGTGGTATGGGTGGTTCGTAAGACCACACTAGTTGACAAAATCATACAGAAGGCGAAGCAAGAAAGGATGTTCAATGATGTTGTTATGGTAATTGTCAATCAACAATAAGACCCTAAAAGAATTTAGGGTGAGATCGCTAGAGAAGTCGGACTAACATTAATAGGGGATGATATGTTGAGTCATGGAGACCGGCTGTGTACAAGGTTAGTGGATCAGAACAGTCGCATTCTTATAATCTTGGATGATGTATGGAAGGGTCTTGATCTAAAGAGACTTGGAATTCCATGTGAAAGAAACCACAAACATCAGCGCGAAGTCATATTCACACCGTGTTTTAGATCTTTTTGTGAAGCAATGGGAGCTCAGAAGATCATGGAAATTAGGATGTTATCTGAAGAGGAAGCTTGGATCCTTTTCAAGTAGAAATTTGGTAATTTTGTCGACAATCCTTCTCTACTTGACATTGCAAAAGAGGTTGACAAATAATGCAAGGGGCTGCCGTTAGCAATTATTACAGTTGTAGGAGCACTGAAAAATCTTAAAACCAAGCCTTCGTGGGATTGTGCCCTTGAACAATTAACAAGTGCAGAAACAAGAATTATTCCTGAAGTACCCAAAGAGTTGTATAAACCTTTAAGGCTAAGCTATTAATTCTTGGAATGTAATGAAGCCAAGAACCTCTTTATGCTTTGTTCCTTGTTCGAGGAAGATAGTGATGTATGTCCTGAAGAATTACTAAGATAAGGAAGGGGGCTTTGCATCTTTTCAGAAATTGGAAAGTTAGAAAATGCAAGAAATGTGGTGTTTCTTCTGTTGGAAACATTGAAAGATTGTTTCTTCTTAGCCCAAGGTTCAGACAAAAACAATATGAAAATGCATGATGTGCTCTGTGATGTTGCTATAAGTATCGCATTTGAGGGAGAGCATAACTTTATGGTAAGTCACCATGTTAACTCAGATGAGTTCCCAAGAAGAACTTTTTATGAGCATTTCACTCACATGTCTATAGTTGCAAATAAATTTGATGAGCAGAGTAGATCAATATTTTTCCCAAATTGTTGTTTTTAATGTTGTTTCTCCGGGTTGATGACTATTCATTCAAGTTACAGGATGATTTTTTTGATGGAATGGATAAACTCAATGTCTTCAGCCTGTGTGTATATCAGCAGTACCCCGTTTTGCCTTTGTCGGCATCCATTCAGAGGTTGTCAAGTTTGAGGACGGTGTGTCTGAGTAATCTAGTGTTGGGTGACATATCTATTATCGGGAATCTTGTCACTTTAGAAATTCTTAGCATAAGAGATTCTCGGTTAGTGGAGGTGCCAGTGGAGATTGGAATATTAACCAATCTAATTATGTTG